CACACACACACACACACACACACACACACACACACACACATACACACACACTCATGTACGCATGTGCACACACGCATACCTCTCCCTCTCTTTCGTGGTCCTTTAGCCTGGGGGGATTCCCTACCTTGGGGCCCACAGTTCACTGATGTGACATCCTTGCTCAACACAGACAGGAGTCACTTGTATCTATTGACCCCGAGGCCTAGCATATGGCCTCCCAACTCCGGTGTCAGTGGTGATAAGGGAAGAGCTGCTGACTTGGACCCTGACTAATGAATGGGATGGTTCAGGTCTCTGGAATTGATAGAGAGGCCCATTCAGGACAGCAGAGGCAGGAGGCCCTGGAAGTATCACCCCAGCCCATTGTGAGGAGCAGGGTCACCCCAGTGGGAGATCCTGGGCTCACAAGGAAGATGACCAATTCCTGCTGAAGAACAGACGTGTGGTCAGAGTAAAGTATGTCCGAGTGCAGGTCTAACAAGTGGGAGCAGCTCTGGGGGCCAGGCTGTGTCTCCGGACGTGGAGGGTAGAGTTTGTCTGGACCTTCTCTGGGAGCTCCTGTTTTCCCGATGGCATTCCCGGGGTCCCAGCATGCATCTGGCCCAGGTTAGGGATGTCAGTCTGCAATGCCTGCAGAGCCACGGGTGATGTGTGATGATTGCTACTGTGGACTTGATGGAGGCTAGAATCACCTAGGAGGAGAACCTCTGAGCAGGCCTGTGAGGGCTTTTCTAGATTCATCAAGGTAGGAAGACTCTCCCCAAGTGTGGGAGGCACTACTCTGTCCAATGGAGAGAAAGTCAGCTGAGCACCACAGTGCCACCAGCTGCCTCGGGCCCTGCTGCCAAGATTCTCCACCCTCATGGGCTGTACCCTAGAACTCTGAGGCAAATTAAAGCCTCCCTCCTTTCCCTACACGGCTCCTGTCAGGGTGTTTTATCACAGCAACGGGAAAGTGACTAACCCACAGAGACCCGCTTCCTCCCTCTCTCAGAGCCTGCCTTACCATCCCGCCTTCTTCACAGGCCTGCCCTCTGTCTCCCTGATAATCTTCCTCCCCCAGGGCCTTCCATACACAGTTTAGACCTTTAGCTGGCCTGGCCTCTCTTCTCTAGCCTTTAGCTACTTACCACATTGAAGGACCCCAAAGGGCAATGGACCTACCCCTCCAAGGTGGGCTTAATATCTACAAGTGCTCAGGAATATTGGCTTTGTGAGGTATGTGTGTGTACGTATGTGTGCATGTGTGTTTGTGTACACTTATGTGTAAGTACACATGTGCTGACTGATGAAGGCCTGAAGTCAACCAGTCCACACCGGTCATTATCCTCAATCAGGTCTCTACAAGCTTTTTAAAGACAGGTTTCTCTATGACTCTTAATGGCTCATGAGCTCCCAGGATCCACCTGTCTCGGGCCCCTCAGTACCAGCACCCACACCCCAGTGTGTCAGGGATTACATGTGTGTCAGGGGTTCTAACCCAGGCCTTCAGGCTTGTGCGGTGAGCACTTTGCCCACTGAGGAATCTCCCCAGGCTGTTTCTGAAGCAGGCAGGACTTGAACCCAAGGCCCATGCATGCTAAGCACATGTTCTACCATGGAGATATGAAGCCAGAACAATCTGGTGAGTTGTTGTTGTTGTAGGTGTATACGTTTTTTTCTTAGAGATTTGTTTTTATTTCTATGCAGTTATGTATGTTTGTGTGTATATGTGTATGCTGTATGTGTTCAGGCATCTGTGGGAGCCAGAAGAGAGCATCAGAGTCCCCAGAACTAGTTACAGGAGACTGTGAGCAACCAGATAAGGATGCTGGGAACAAAACTCGAGTCCTCTGCAAGAGCAATAAGAATTCTCCATCCCTCCAGCCCATTGCCCCCCCCCCCCATCTCTTTTCTTTTAGGAGACAGGATCTTGCTACATTCTCTGGGATGGTTGGTAGATGCAGGCTCATTCTGTTATTCGCTTTGGTACATGGAAGAAACTTTGATATGTTTATATATGAATGCACATACGTACAGATGGGTACATATACATATTTCATTTAAAGTATGTGTACACATAGGAACATACACACACTGTTTTGGGAACAGAATTTCACAAGCCACTGGCTGGCTTGTGACTTGCAGTATAGCCCAGGCTGGTGTAGAGTGTGACTCTGTCTTCCTGCCTGTGCCTCCCAAGGGCTGGGGGTATAAATAGCCCAGATATTTGTACATTTTTAATGACCTTTTCATTTATAAGCAAGTCCATGGGACATGAGGAAAGCGTTCCTGTTTTTGTTTTTTGTTTGTTTGTTTGTTTTTTAATCTTATCTTCCCAGTTCTGGGAACAGGAAGTCCCTATCTACATGTAGAGCCGTTCTGGAGACCCCAAGCTCTCTGAACGATCACTACCCACTTTGGTGGTCCAGCCAAATACTTCCAACAGCCTGGACCTCAGAGCCCCTGACGGGATGGGTCATGGTGAACCCACTGTTACGTGTGCAGTAGGAACGGGGTGCTGGCAGAGGCTCTGGTCAGGGAAGCTTCTCAGAGAAGGGCACAAGGGACAGCCTGGGGCTGGGTTTGAAATAGGAGAGAGGTCAAGATCTGTGTCCCCAGTGAAGAGTCTTCCCTGGAACCCAGAGCTCTGCCTACCGGGAGCAGAATCCAAGGGATGAAGGAAGAGTGGAGACCTCACTCTGAGGAGGGCTCCCCTCTCCATTGGGAGGGCTCTGCTAGAGTCTCGCTGCCTGTGGGAATGTTAGCAAGGGAAACCGACGGGGATGGGGTGGGGCTTGGGGGGTAGATGTCCTCAGGCCTTATAGCATGATCACAAGCCTTTTGGTGGGGGGCAATAGGCTTGCTTTCATTAGTGTGTGCGTGTGCGCGTGTGCGTGTGCGTGTGCGTGTGTGTGTGTGTGTGTGTGTTGGCATGTGTGTATATGTATGTCTCTGTCTGCATACATGTGTGAACACACGCATGCACAGATTGTCCTGGGGGTGGAACCCAGGGTCTCAGGCACGCAGGGCAAACGCTCTACCCGTAAGGCACAGGCCAGGTCCGCTGCCTTCGTCTAAGGGATACTGTAAGTCTGGAAACAAACTGTTCTTTCGGCTTCTGGAAAGCTCCAAACCCAGGCTGACCTCAAACTTGCTCTGCAGTGAAGGATGACCTTGACTCCCACCTCCTTCCAAGTACTTGGATTACAAAGTACACTACCACACCAGGTTTATATTTTTTTCCACTGATAAGTCATCTACATATTTTTTCTCCTTTTGTTGTTGCTGAAAGTGACTTTATGTTATTTTTGGAAAGAAATGGCTACACGCAAAAAAATAAAGTAACAATGTGAGGCTTGAGACTCCAATTAGGCAATCTTCTCACCCTTTTTTGTTATTGCCGTCCTAACTTCACAACATCTTGGTGAATTAGAGGTAGGTGACCTCCCCCGCCCCCTGTCAAATGATTCTGGTGAAAACCCCAACAACCAGGGGCTAAGAAGACTGCCCAATGGGCAAGCACCAGGCCCTGAGTTCCAACCCAGAACCCATCTAAAGTATCTGCTGTGTGGCACACCCGGAGACAGTGATTGGGCTGGCCGGCCAGCTAGCGTGGTCTAGCCTACTTGGGAAGTTCCAGGCTCCAGGGAGATCCTATCTAGAAAACAAACAACAACAACAACAACAACAAAAACCAAGTGCAGCTGTCCCCTGGCACACTCACGAGCACACACACACACACACACACACACACACACACACACACGTCCAGCATCCTCTTGCCACCCACTCCCACTTCCTGCTCCTGGGGGTGGCTTGAGTCCAGCCTGAACTCCCTTAACTGGTTTTTAAATAACATGCTGATGGTGCGAGTTTCCAGTTTCTCGACTTTCGGCATTTCCTCTGGACTTTGCAGTAAGAGGAGGAGGCTCATCTGCCTGCCTGTGGCTTTCCACCGTGTGTGCCTCACTGTGGCTGGAAATGTCCTACCTGCTAAGGTTGTGTTACTCTGTGCGCCATGCTCGGCTGATTTCCGCTTTCTTTCCCCCAGGAGTCAACCTCCAGTATGCTTTTACTATTGGAGACTCAAAATCAGTTGGTATCCTAAGGTCCTCCCGCTGTGGCCCCTGGGTTGACACTGTATGAGACTGACGTTCGGCTTGCTATCTCTGCAGCCTCATTTCTCTCTAAGGAGATTGAAAGTGCACGTGCGTGCGTGTGTGCGTGCATGTGTGCGTGCGTGTGTGTGTGTGCGTGTACATGTGTGCAGGTGAATGCGTGTACATAGATGTGGAGGTCTCAGGTGTCCTTTGTGTTTGTCATAGGGTCTCCCATTGGCCTGGAACTTCTCCAAGTAAGCTAGGCTAGCTCAGTAGTGAGCTCCAGGGATCCCTGTGTCTCTGGTCCATTCCAGCATCAGTGCGATTACAGGCACGCACTCCACACGCAGGTTTTCTGTAGGATCTGGGGACTGAACTCAGGGTCCCTTGCCCTCCATGCCCGTGCTCCACTGACCGAGCCACTGCTCTGGTCCTAAGGAATCCTCTCATGAGTCACAATCCCCAAAACTTACCTGGAAGGAACCCAGGGCCAATTCAAAGAACAGCCGGACCTCCATGGCGTCCTCTGTGGAGAAGGCGAAGACAATGTAGTGGATGCCGAAGAGGGGGATCAGCAGGAGGGTGGACTTGGCCAGGCGCCTGGGGACACAGGGACATGCTGCCACTCCTGATCTGCCGCCAGCCCTCCTCACACAGAGCTCAACTCATCTAGGGCCTGATTGCTTTAATTTTGCTACGATGTCTCCAGATATTTTTTCAATTTGGGAGTTTTGTTTTTTTTCTGGATCTATCTATCTATCTATCTATCTATCTATCTATCTATCTATCTATCTATC